AGCAATCGGTTTATACTGTTTTTAGATTAGTCGCTGTCGTAATATTCTTTTCATCAGCTCTCAGAGTGTCAGTGTCCATATTATGGCATAACTTATGTCTCAAATCATTACTATTTCCACTCCTTATTTACTCTTTAAATATACTCCTTGTTTCTGACGCTTGCCAACAAATACTGTATTAAACTATTAAAGTTTCCTACGTCCCATTCGTTGATTGTCTCTATACAACGTAATTATGTCGCAACATTTGCCATTCTCTTTTGCTTTGTTCCTAAATTATTTGACAGTTGGGAGCGACTCTTATGAAGGATCTACACACACTGCGACTAAAGATTAACGGATAAAATCATGGTCATCATCGAATATAACGTTACTGCTTAATGAAGGTGATATCCTGCTTGGGGTATAGTAAGCGGATAAATTGTGCTTGTTTGAGGACGATACATTTAATTGTAATCAATGTTGCATTTTGATTTATAAAACATTCCCCTTGTTACGTAAACTATCACCAGTTAAAGGTTTGGTTCGTGAGTTTTCTCCTTCAACTGCATTAAGATAGTAATTTGCACAAATGATTAATAAGGGACATAGCTTGTATGTGGGTACTAGTCTCCTTTTCTCATTGTCAGAGTTCCACCACTATGTTTATTGCATGGCTACCGTCGTATGTGTTTTACGTGACTGTCATGTCTGTCATAAGACCAATATTCAGATTGGATTTTCTAGCATCTCAGAAATGAACAGACTGCTCAGGACAAATCTTGAGCTCTTAGTCAGGGAAAGGAAACATACAGATCAGTAATACTGATTCAGTATTCTGATTTATAATACAGATATACCTTAATTCCCAAAAATTTGGGCGACAAAAAATTTGAGCGGGCCTCTCGCCCAAATTTTTTGCAGACCAAATTAATTGCATAAATCTTTTCCGTCTGCTAAATTTTTTGCTAACCAAACTTTTGGCATTTGGCCTGTGGCCCTGAAATCTATAGAAAGATGGCTTTTTCTTCATATCCAAGTGAAATAATATTTGAAATTTTAGTTTTCTAATCTGTCATTCATGGCTTGACCAAGTAAAAAGGCTTATATTTTAAATGAATAGAAATAACTGGAATAGCTAACAGCTACTAATAAAACAAATGACTAGAGGTACGGATAGCTAGAGATTTAAACAAGATCTGCAAATGGATTATCATCCACCGTAAAGTCTGATCTACAAGCATCAGTTATACCTGACTTCTCAAAGCCTTTCCTTATGTCATCTGGCCTCCCTTTTAAATATACAAAAAGTTCGTTGATCCAACGAGCGTGTACTTCACGGATCACTGTCAAGCGGGTATAAATTTTCACATTGTCTGATGAAACTCCTCCATTGAGCTGACACACTATGTTTTTCGCGTACCAATCTTCGTACTTATTGCGCATGAATTTCTTAGCCAGTCCATTGATAGATATGTCCAGGGGCTGTAGATGATGGGTCATATTAGCTGGAACTTTCTGTAGGATACAGTTGTTGGCTGTCATCAGATCTTTTAGTGTCTGTGTGTGTTGGGCCCGAAACACATCTGATATCAGTAGCGCTTTCTGCTCAGGGTTGTTGATGGAGGCTCGAACTGATTCTATGTGGGGAAGAAGGATTTTCTCAAAGAACTGGACACTGGTCAAACCTTTCGACCATCTGGCGAGGCGTCATAATTGTATGTGAAAGGGGTATGATAAGATATGCTGAGTGTAATTAGACTAAACTATCTGATTGAGAGACTAAATATCACTATTGTATATCTATCATTTTGTACTGTGCCATCATCACTGTATTTTTTAGTAGTTACTGGGCAGATCGTAAATTTCATAATGTGAAACAACTCAGACTACCACCTACATGCTTAAAATTGGAAGCAAAATGACTGGAATAATAAGGAATAATAATGAACTAAGGCAAATTATATATACTTGTTCTGTAATTTTAGTGGAAAATCGTTCATTTTTCGAAGAATTTGTGACCAAATTTTCGGTCGCTCAAATGAGTTCAAATTTTCTGCCCAAACTTTTCGGGCTCAAATAAATTGTGCTCAATATAATGGCACACAAATTTTTGGGAACTAAGGTATGTAGATATATGAAACGTTGAAGTAAATATAACTTTGAAGTATTTATGTGGTTGAAGTCCTTTTGTCCCGTAAAACAGCACAGACTAGACAGATTTATACAGTTTGCTCTGGACATTATATACCATGCAGATTTTTGCCGTACAGAAGATATTTCTCTGACTAAATAGTCTTAATTTTGAATCGGCTCAAATTTCAAACGAACAATAGTTTTATTATTTTTATTACATGCCCTTTTCTGGGGCTTCCTGAGCTAATTATTTGGTGATCTTTTTTATTCTTACGGAACACGCTCGTGTGCACGTTCATTTTATGGGTATATTGCCCTGTTGGGCTTGTTAAAGACTAAGTCTGAACATTCCTGTACCTGACCTTGCAACTTCATAACTTTGTTTTCAACAGCTAATCTAATTATTAAACTAGCTGCAGCTATGAACTGCTACTTACCTACTTTCTTGCGTTTCTGAAGTATTTTAGATAGGAGTTTTAAATCATGTTGGTTAAGTGTGGTGACAGTTTTGGGGGAGGGTCCCCCTTGGACCGTGGCAAAGTGTGGTGACAGTTGAGGGGGCCCCCTTGAAACTAAGCGCTATCTAGCTGCTTCTGTATTAACTATTTGACTGTCTGTAAATATCTCCGTGACAGGTCAGTTCTGTCCAATATTAAACTTGTTAGAGTTTCAACAGTACGCTGAACTCGGACCTTACCCTCAAGCACTTGTTAAATGGACATTCCTCAAATACTCATGTTTCTTGGTAAGTTGGCATGCTAATGCTGTTAATGTGCGGTTTAACTCAAGTCTACCGTATCCTCCAGCTTCAGTAACATCGTCTACCAGCCCCTCTTTCTGAAGTTGTTGATAGATACACAGCTATAATTTAGTCCCATTCTTCGGAATTCCCCAACTTTTCTTAAACTTTAAACGGCTTCTAATTCTTTCCAGATTATTCGGAATGAAGATATAGTTTTATACTCGGAACCTATGAGTATTCCTTCGTGTAAAACACACAGAGTTTAACTTACTGATATTTTCTTATCGTGTCTAACAGGTTTATAGCTTCACTCGTACAGTTATTAAACACCTCTGTCAGAATACAGACAGTATCTTTTTCGGATAATTTAACTAGGATTGTTGTGTTATTCATTTTTTGTGCTGCTTTTAGTTTGCAATTTAACTTAGTAATACTTTTATTCTTCGCTCTCTTGACTCTTATAAGTGGGTCGATCCTGATTGATTACTGGGGACGAAATGAGAGTCTCCACTTGCACTCACTACTGTTTACAGCGAGTACAGCGAGTAGTGACTCTCATCTCGTCACCAGTAATCAATTAAGAACTTATTAAAATCTAATCCACCTGTAACCACACACTAACCGTGCCCGACTCCCCACCTCTAGAGATGAATACCACTACAGTAACACCAGAGGTATGGTACGCTCCAGACCCCCACCTTGATAAACTGCTGGGGACTGCTCTCATGCTGTGTCTGGTGCTGGGACTCCCCGGTAACATTATCTCCCTCTCCTACTTCCTCAGCAAGAAGAGATGTGACCTGGCTACCTTTCTCTACCGGTCTATATGTTGTGTGGACCTGTTTACCTGCTTCCTCCCTCTCCCTGTCCTACTCTCTTTATTCAACCTCAGAGAGCCGGTCTGGTTCGATCACCACTCTTTCTGTGTCGGCTGGGCAATTATCTTCACTTTTATCCAGCAGATTTCCATTTTCCTGGTACTGTTGCTGAGTGTGACCAGGACTTATAACATAGTCCGCCCCTTTGTCCCTATCTCTAAACGGACAGTAGGAGTGTGTATAGTGGGGTTCGTTATCTTCAGGGTCGCACATGAGACATGTTTCAACCTGATGCCGGGGTACTTTGGGACCAAGTATTTGTATACCCGGGGGACTGTGTACTGTTACTACTACCTTGGAGAGCACTGGGCTATTGTTGATGAGATTATCAGCTCTATATTCATCGCTGTGGTACCTATTGTGATCACCATCAGTTTCGTCGTGTGTTTGTCTCATATCCTGAAGAGGCAAGAAGGGAGAGACGATGACACGGCTAGGAAGCGGGTGACGGTGACAATGTCACTGTTTACAGCTCTGTCACTGATGTGTAACACCCCTCTGTTTATCAACTACCTGGTGTACATTGTTGATTGTAATATTATTCAGTATGTTTACCCTAGTCAGATTTATAAAAACCCGTTCATGTACAGCTACATTTGGCCTATTACTGAGATATTCTTCATGGCGCTAAATTCTGCGTTAAACCCATTCCTTTACTTTTGGAGGATGGAACGCCTCAGGACTTGGACTTTGTTGAAATTTAATCCCACTCAAAGCCAGGAAAATAAGAGAAACTTGAAATGTACCAACGACACTAAGTTTTGATGATTGAATTTAAAACTGAAGCAGATTGTTGGTTCGTTGTTGATATCATGATACATACTCTGTAAAACTCTGTTTAAAAAATTTGAATTGTATAAATAAGTAACGTATAATATATATATTTTCTCCGAGTTAAATTTTTTCCATGCAAGAAGTGTATTCTGACTCTTAAATACTCTTACGGTCGTGATTACACAATATAGAGTAGAATGACACCTTGGGTCAGGGAGGTTGGGGCCAGGGGTTTGTTCAAAGTTAAAACAATGAAAGTGTTAAAATAAATTCGCCGTTGTCTTGTGACCTATCATCACCTATTATTCATGTCACATGCCTCACACTGCAACTGCAACTGCTGCATAAGACTACAACCCATCTTCTAAAACTTAGATAAAAATGGATACAAAACTGAGAATTATCAATTAAGTTGAACTGTAACCTCCCTAATGGAATGAGCCCGGATATTCGTCTAAAATCCTCCACTATCTGACCACAGTACCTCTCAGAGCGGAAAGGGAGACGGGGACTACCTCCACGCCTTCCACGAGCTGATCCTGCCCTTGGCTCTGGAATACCAGCCCCAGCTGGTATTTATCAGTGCTGGTTTTGACTCAGGGAAGAACGACCCCCTGGTTAGTGTTTATTTTTATCTGATATTTTTTGTTTCACCGCAATTAGTTATACAGTTAATAATACATTCCCTACATTCTTAACGGAAATGTGAACAATGTTCTTTACTTATTTTGACACATCTTTGTCAGGGTAAATGCTGCGTGACGCCGGCAGGTTACGGTCAGATGACGCGGTACCTGATGGGAGTGTGCAAGGGGAAGGTCATCGTTGCCTTGGAGGTAAACAAACTTTCTCATGTTTTAAAGATCTTCATTACGTCGGAAAATTTTGGTTACCAAAACTTTAAACACGATATAAGTATTTGAGCACGGTAAATTTCGGCATCACATTTTGAACGGGGCTATCATGGATTTTATAGATATATCTTAACATAAAATTTGCGATTTATTTACATTCCACATCTCCAAATGTGATGCTGATTGGAAGTCTGGTATTTATACGAAAGTCGATTTTGAGTGCCGTCTAAATTTTCCGTCACCCAAATTTTGTGGACGTAAAAACTATTGCTAGACCATAATAATATGTTTCTCACTCTATCGCTTTAATGGTGAATATAGGATCAACAGCAGCTTTTCTCATGAACTGCAAATTCTTTGCACGTGTAGTAATTAATATCAGTTTACTTTGCACTTGTAGTAAATAACATGAGTTTACCACAGGGAGGATACAATCTTGAAACAGTGTCAAATGGTATCAGAGCATGCACCAGTGTGCTGCTTGGAGACTACCCTGATCTCCCTGACAACGCTGCTCCTTCACCCGGGTTAGTAGACTGTTGCTGTGTACAATATTACAACACTAGATAACTAGGATTACCGTCATCCTATGTGGTGATGGTTAGTATCGAAACTTACATTATTATCATGAAACAGGATCGATTATACACACAAAAATGATTAATAAAATAATAAGTTGATACCTTATTGAATTATCGTCAGGATATCCAAACCTCCTTACCACTAGGTCATACGTTAACGATCCCTAACTTTCTCACAAATGGCTTTAAAAATTTCGTTGTACTAGTAACGTTTTTAAAGATACTCCCATTAAAATGAGAGCAAACTGCAATCTAACTAACTTTAAAGTTGATATAATAAGGAATGTAGAGTGTACAAGAGACAATAAATACATGCTATACGGATACCCGCCATCGATTTGAACCTCAAGAAACACGATCTTGTATCTAAAACACCAAATCATACGTCATGATGGCTTATTTTCAGAGGTCGGAAGAGTATAGACTTTGCTATGCAGAACATTGCTCCGTTCTGGAGCAACTTGATACCCTGTAAGTTTAGCATTAGTTTATTTTTGGATTAAATGTAAAATTCGCTAATTTATATGTAGCGCTTTCATTCGTATAGTTTCAAATGAATAATTTATCGTATTAAAGTAATATAATATCTTAAGAATATATTCTTCGTACAAGACCTCTGTATTTATAATCATGATATGGACCTACTTTGTGGTTTTATCAGTCTGTTAACTATTTTATTTTACCGACTTATTTTCAGCCTCCTCCAGTCCAGTTACTCCCAAAGAGAGGTAAATTCAACTTAAGACCGATTTTTAGTTGAATGAAGTTACAATTTTATTTAATAGAAATAATTTACAGTCTTAGATCGTTCATGCGCAGACATGAAACTAAAATTCTTCAGGCGTCCGAAATCACTCAAAAGTTGGTTCAACAAAACACTCCCACCAACTTCACCACCACCAACTTCACCACCACCAAGTTCCACCTCACCAAGTTCCACCCTACCAAGTTCCACCCCACCAAGTTCACCACCACCAAGTTCCACCCCACCTGCTTTTGAGGAGTGTGCTCCTCCACACTCTTTCATCAAACCTCAGAACATCTCTCAACCTGTCCTATCAGGGTATACTCATAATAACACGATTGAGGCTCTGGATTTGTCAAGCATTGCTTGTTCTATTAATTCTGACACTTTCTCACCCTCTCCGAGGACATCGCCCAGGAGGTCTCCTCACCAATCTCCTAGACCGGCTCTATCACCTAAATTATCGCCTCGACAAGCTTCATTGCCTGCTAAATCACCTAGAATGTCACCTAGATCACCTAGAATGTTACCTAGACAAGCCCTATCGCCCGGGCGATCACCTAGAATGTCACCCAGATTGTATCTAAACCTCACTGCTGCAAACAAAAAACTCAAATCACCCAAACCCAGTCCTCGGTCGTTTGGTGGTTCACATACCTCTGACGATTCAAGTGAGGATATGTTCACCACCCCACCAACAAGTGACAGAAAATATTAACTTGTGTTTCACTTCAGTCAGGAGATTGAAGAACTTGGCGAGGAACCAGACACTGAGCCTGAGGTACTTATTACACGATATAGCGCTTTATATATATTTTTGTGCTCCGAGCTAGCCCATACGTACTTTGGAGCATTTTGTGTGTGTAGAACTTGTTGGCCTAGGTATTATGTATCATATAAGTTTCATATCATACCACCATCAGCAGTTTCAACACATCCTGTATTATCATGTATTTTGTCTATTAAAGCTTCTAGGTAGCTGCTTTATGGCGATTTTAAGTATGTAATTATCTCAGAGTTTCTTTGACCCAGTTGACAAGATAGATTTGATGGCTAATGGCCACGGTAGATCTCGTGGTAACGGTTATATATCGCAATGTCAGGTTTGTACTTAGCCCGTTGAACTTGAAAAAAATGCGCTACTATTTTTCACCTTGGTTATATGATATTGATATTTTTTCTTTTTGATAAGAACTGGAAAAATATTGATTTATTCCATGTAAGTTGTAACCTCAGCATTTTCGCTCATCTTTTTCTTCGTTTTATGGTCTTCAGATGTAGCATCTCAATTATAGTCTGAAGTCTCATCTGCTGCATTATTTTGCATCTTCTAATTGTTCAACATTAATATAACATTGAACAAGTTTCCTTTTTGACCTAGAAAAAACACTTCTTTTTGTTTGGTTTATGTTAAATCATCTTTGTACTTGTTGTACTAAATATGAATGCTCAGTTATGAAACTTCAACATTAATATAACATTGAACAAGTTTCCTTTTTGACCTAAAAAAAACACTTCTTTTTGTTTGGTTTATGTTAAATCATCTTTGTACTTGTTGTACTAAATATTTGACCAAAACCCATAATCATGGGTAGATTGAACCGCTGCCAGTGTCTCTCTTTTCCAAACAAAAGAAAATGATATTAATTTGAGGAACCGTCCGCAAATGCAAATTGATACCGAGAATGAAATCGGTCGCTCGCTTTTCCCATTAAATAAGATTTATTACAATTCGTAAGCCGTGAATGAATGGGAAAAGCGAGCGATCATATACTAATTACAGTAGTAGTGTTATCGCAGATCTAGAGCATGCTGTGGAGTGTGGAGTCTGAGGTGTTAGTTAGAAATTATAACATAGAGAGATAGAGACAAAATACCACTGGCTGATTTTTATGACTTTTTCATAGTACGTATTTCGGTACTAAGAAACCAGTCCCAAAACTGTTACCGTTCTCATGATAGAGCCGTGCAATCACATACATTTACACGCACACACCGCCAAACACACTTACCACTATAAGAATTAGAAAGATTGCTGGGCCCATACTTACCTGTAAACATACACGGATCAGGAAGTAGAACAAGATCCTGAGCACACAATGGTTGAGCTGGCAACATGGAGGCGCTGCTTCTACTGCTCGCACGGCTATAAAAAACCGAGGAAGAGCAGGACATCTTTTTATTGCCAGCAATGTGGGGAGGAATTTCCCTTGTGTGAGGAAACGTGTTGGTACGTCCATCGCTTTTTGGGAATCCCAACCAAGAAGTATAGAAATTAATGGTGGGGTAGAGATTGCCTTGTCCACATGAAAAAAGTGAATTTTTAATCACCCAATTTCAGAATCTCACAAACTATTTTCTTTGTGGTTAAAAACGTGAAAACTGAGCTCACTTTCAAATTCTACTTATATTCACTTTTTTCAAGCGGACCCTCTAAGGTGTGTTTTCCATTATATTGTTAGACAAATTAAATGGGGCCCAAACATTTAATAAGTCGAACTAAATGTTTTTTACAAGTTTGTTCGCATCAGTGTTGTAAAATACGTACCTTATCGGACCTTATTTGGACGGACATTACTTGAACGCTGGAGGCCCTAGCGTTCATCTTAATGTCCGCTCAAATAAAGTCCGTTCAATTAATGTCCGTCCAAGTTAAAGTCCGTTGAAATTTTTTCAAACATTTTTTCATTTCGAACTTTTTGTCCAGAATTATATGACAACTTTGAGAACTTTATTGTGCCGTAAGTTAACGATGGAAAGGTTCTCCTTGGTCTGCCGGAGGCACAGAAAACTCTACTAGTATATGATATTTTCAAGGGTCACTTGGCGGAAAAAAGTCAACGAAATTATGGCACTCAACAACATAGTTCATGAACTAGTCCCCGCCAACATGACAAACTTGTTCCAGCCTCTAGATATTACGGTAAATCGTGTTTCCAAGGACATTGTCCGACGTTGTTATAGTTCATATTACTCGGGGGCGGTCATGAAACAGTGCTAGGAAAGCTCCACGTGATGTTAAGGTTAACCTAAGTTGTCTAAGATAAAACCGCTTCACGCCGAATGGCTTGTAAAAGTTAACACTGAAATGCAGGACCGGGGTAGTTTGATAAAAAAAGGTTTCCATAAAGCTAGAAATCACTGATGCTTTAAGCATGGACTATTTCATGCACGAAAACCCATTTGATGAAGATGATATGTGATATTAGACACTGATCATGTACACATATTTTAACATTTTTACTGCTCAATGACTGCTTTTCTTACTTACTGTATAAAAATGGATTTAAAAATCATTTGCTGAAATTTAAAAAACGTCAAAAAAATTGAAAAAATTCGGATTTTTGATGGTTTTGAATGCCTTCGAGCGTTCATATTAATGTCCGTTCATAATTATGTCCGTTCATGTAATGTCCGTCCAAATAAGGTCCGATAAGGTATGTTTTGGTCCACTACGAATTAAACTTATGTTTGATATTTCCCCGAATAGTTCAACAGTGATAAGTGAAATTGTTGCTTTTTATTCAAAAGGCCACAAATAATGAATTGTCGTTTGAGGCAAATAAGGAAGATTTGTTTTTATTCGTACTGCACCTTATAATAACAAGTAACAAATGTTGACTTAGTATACATACAACACTGGTTTATATTTCCCTTGTAAGCTTTTTGTTTGCTTATAAGATTGTATACATTTTGATATTTTCAATAAACTTTTTAAACCTTCGAAAATCCAATGACTACAGAGTTAAATATACTGTGCCCAAAAAGTTAAATACCCTGTGCCCAACTGATTTGCCGACTATTGAGTTAAATAAACTGTTGTTGATATTATGGGGAGGGGGCATAGATTTGGGCTTGTTGATATTGTGGGGGAGGGGTTAGAAATTTGGGCCTGTTGAATGTTGATATTGAGGGGTGGTGTGATTGTGGGAGGGGTCATAGATTTGGGCTTGTTGATATTGCGAGGGAGGGGTTAGAAATTTGGGGCTGTTGAATGTTGATATTGTGGGGGTGGTGTGATTGTGGGAGGGGTCATAGATTTGGGGTTGTTAATTGTTTATTGTGGTTTGTTTGTTTAATTAAAAATAATTGCATTTGCATATATAAGCTTTTAAGAAATATTTTATTTTATTTCTATAAACATAAAGAAATGTTATTTGTGGTGGGTGTTCACTGTAGCATGCCATTAAAGCCCTCCTTACTCCTTTAATTAAATAATGCTTTGAGCAGAATGATAATAATTTTGATGCGTGCACCTTTTTCTTGCGTCAGCTATATGTACTTGTAAAATTAGAAGAGTGAGCACATTTAATTACTTGAATTGGGTTAATTCGTGTACCATTTGAAGAATGATCTTTTTAATTGTACTTGACATAAAATTCCAATTTCGTTTTTTATAATTTTTATTTTCTTGGTCATGTATAATGAGACAATTATTTCAATAAAACAATCATTTCAATAAAAAATTATTCACAATAAAAATGAATTGAAAAACATATTTAATGTAAAATTAAAGAGATGAGAGTTAAAGTTACCGGTAAGATAATGTCCAGTACATTATCCAAGGATCCCAACCACCGATGGAGGGTATAAGTCTGGTAAGGGTGGACTGAAGGGATCTTAACCATATCGACGTATGTATGTTTCCATCGGTCGATTGAACGCTTGGTTGAAAATTAAGCTGAGATTTTTATAAATATCACATCACACTCTTTTTAAAATATTTTTAAAAATGTCGACTTCTTCGATGGCCCAATAGAAGATTCTATGTAGCCCAACAAAGTAAGTAACCTCATGTCTAGTCTGGTTGGGTTTCTTGGATGCTGCACTCATTTTTTGTGTGTGCATGGATGCTGCCCTCATTTTTTTTGTGTGTGCATAAATGATCTTGATTAAACTAGTTTAAAGGAATTAGCTTCGTAAATGCCTTTTACATCGCTTATTATTCACAAAGTCACTGAGATAAATATTATTCATATTGTATCTTTGTATGTACTTGCGGTATACAATTTTGATGGAAGATTTGTCATAAATCACTCATTTATTAGACTTATTATATTCAAATTTGCGTTTATTAACTTTGAACTTCACTAGGATTTGACTGCCGAAGACAGATTGATGGCAGAAATGGCAGAAAGTTCTAATGCCAAAGAGGTATTTTATTGTTCTGAAAACAGCACATTATATATAACTGAAATTATATCATGTACTATAAATTGTAAGTTCATCAGAGATGTTCATGTTCATGACTGCAACTTAAGTTGCCGTAAAGTTACTGCGTTGCGTGTTTATTATATTACATAATAATATGGATTTAATATATTAAACCCATAGATTTATCCAACTAATTTGACAATAACATGATATTTCTTCTGCAGATAGTTGAAGTGTCGGACTCCCCCCAAGTATTTGCAGTCCACCCTAAAACGTGGTGTGAACATTTAGAAGAACATGTGAAGACGGCCCCGCTAGAGTTAGCCGCGAGCCCGCCTTGCTCTGTGTGTCAGGATAGTTCAGAGAGTTGGTACTGTCTTCATTGTTACCAGGTGAGAGATCCTTATCACCAGTAAGCTATTCTTGTTTCTCTTTCAGTTAGCTATTCTTGTTTCTCTTTCAGTTAGCTCTTCTTGTTTCTCTTTCAGTTTTTTAACTAACTAGACTCTTAATATTAATATTTTAACTGATAATAATTGAACTGCCCCTGTAGCCGTTCTGTTCCCGATATGTCAACGAGCACGGGCTGCATCACGCAATTGGGCACTCTCATCTTATGAATCTCAGTATGTCAGATCTTAGTGTCTGGTGTTACGGCTGTGATTCATACGTCCACAACGAGGTAATTATAACCGTATATTATTTAAGTTTGTGCTCATTTGGAAAGCGGTGTTAAACACGTGTTGATGACTTACTTTTGGGATAGTATGATAATCTCTGGGGTTGGGGGTTTAACTCATGATTTATTTATGATTCTCGCTTTAAAAACTTTTTAATTGATCTTTTAATTATCTGATGTAAATTGTAATGACGAAAATCCAAATTAAATTTCAATTGTCTCAGGTGCTATTGGATGCTAAGAACAAAGGAAATATCGCCAAGTTCGGAGAACCGGCCGTGAAGATTGAACTTGCTTCTATTGCTGAGATCAGCAATAGAATCCAGCAAGATTAGTGTAGATTAGTATAGATTAGTATAGATTAGTGTAGATAAGTATAGATTGAACAATGAAACCCTGAATCAGGATAATCTGTAGATCTTTGTACAATGTAACCCTGAAACAGGATTGAATTGTATGTGAATAGTTTCAAAATTGATTTTTTTTTCACTCCATGAACTTGAAAAACTGTATCATATTTTGTGTTAGATCTTTAAATTTAAGTATAATTATCTGTCATTAGGTTGAACGATATATTTTCAGGCATTCATTACCAGTCCTTATCTTTTATTGGGGGATCATGTTTTTTGTCAATTTTTGTCCATGCGGTACCCTGTATTTTCAAAAAATAGGTTGGACAAAAATAAGTTGGACAAAAATGGACACAAAATTCAAAATACATGGTAATAGTCCGAGACGAAAGGAGAACTCGAGCCTAGCTTTTCGAGTTAAAAATGATTTCGCAACGGTTATCGCCTCTCTAGAGGTGATGCTTAAAACATTTGGCCTTTATTGCATTTTTGTAATAAATGCATACATTAGTTTGTTACAAATTGTGGTCCGAAATTATCGCCGGTCTAAGGTCAACGCTTATGAGTATTTGTATTGCGCGAGCGATTTTCAATCGCGAATTCTGAAGATCGAGTCTAAAAATCTATCTTCTCCCACATTTTTTGAGCAATCACCCTGAAACTTTCAGGATATGTTCTAGGGACCATTTAAAAGAGATCGCTTTGACAAAATTTTGAGATAGGCCTTTACAAATTTTTTATTCAATTTTGAAAATCGTGGACCTCAAAAAATTGTAAAAAAACAATCTTAAAGATTTTTAAAAATTACCAGAACGGATCCTAAAAAGGGCTATGGTCGATGATCGTGATTGGTCGGTAACCATTTCTGTAAGTAGTTTGTTACAAATTGTGGAGAGAATCCAAATCAAACGTTATAATTTTTGTCCATTTATGTCCATTTTTGTCCATGCGGTCCCTATTTTCTGAGGTTGGACAAAATCGTATGGACAAAAATGGACAAAAAACATGATCCCCTTTATCCGAGTACATTTCTGGGATGTTTAGATTAACACTGCTGAGTATAAGTTTTTTTCTTAATAGTGGTGTTATCAAACCTCAATTTATTATTATATTATTACTGATAATTATGAAATCTTTGATTGAGTCCTCGTGGAAGTTACTCGACTGTATAAGTGTTGCACTTTTCTAAATCCTTCACAGAATCCATATTTTAACCAACGGTCTTTGCGAGCAATGTGATACCTCTATTATTGAATTCTGCTACGTGCTATGGCCTATGTATAATATAGGTTTAAACTTTAATTGACTCGACAGGCTGGGAGATTTTTGCAATTCAAAGTTTACATTTGTTAACTTTTGAAAAGTTGTTAGTTGAAACTGATTTTGATATTGGTAGAGTTTATGGATTTATCTATCTATTTATAGAGATACCATGTTGTTTTTATTTTATTTCAATTCAAGGGTTGTTTAGGGACCTATATTATATTGGTAGAGTTTATGAATTTGCCTATCTCTTTATAGAGATACCATGTTGTTTGTATTTAATAATAATAATAAAATATTGAAACCCTATTGAGTTCTATTGTTTTGAGCGAAGTCAGTTTTGCAAATATCACGAACTGAGATATGGGCAATTTTGTTCATTTTTTGTGATTATTTGAAGATAGAATCCACAGTTAGGTAGATACTGAGCTGATAATCATAGAGAATGTGTAGTATAAGCTTACCTTCCATATAAAGTTGGTTTCATTCAAAAATATTGATATTTGACCAATTTATGGGCGAAAATCGATCAAATTTGGTGCGTATGCCCAAATATGGTCATATGGTTTTTGGCTCATAACTCAGTCATTTTTTGTTTGATCTTGATGAAATTTCATATACGAGTTCAGGAGACCACTAGCTACAAGTAGAGCACCTAAAACCTGGGTTTCGGGCAATTTGAGGGTATTTGGCTAAATTGGGCCTAATTTGGACAAAATATGGGCGTGGCTGCCCCGCGGGTACCGTTCGGCGGCTGGGGTCCGGGACCCCCTCAAAAGTTTGGTCACCGGTCCTAGTTTGTTGGTCAACTGCTATCTCGAAACCAAGTTTCACAAAAAAAAACCCCCCCCCCCCCCCCCCCCCCCCCCCCTTAAGTTTAATTTTCTGTCATTAGATTGAACGATATATTTTCAAGCATACGTTAAGAGTCCTTAATCTTATCTCTTATTCAAGTATATTTCTGGGATGGTTAGATTAAACACTGTTGTGTTTTATCTTAATAGTGGTGTTATTAAACTTCAATTTATTATTATTATATGGATGCAGTGACTACATGGTGTTTCAAAAGTCTGGCAAGGATGTGCTTTTTGGATAACCATTTGTCTAAACTTCATTCTGTAAAAAATTATTGGAAGTTCTAAGGTTTAATGGTGACTTCTAAAGTTTTTACGTTACCATGACCACCATAGAAACCGCAATCAGTCCCCTAGCAACCGAGGTAAATTTAGGGCATTTCTTCTCATATCGACCAAATGAAAGACCAATATTATCTAGAAATAATATTTTATTTGATGTATTAATGCTTTTCATGCAAACAAGTGAAAACGAATCTTTTATGTCATGTATCCAGGATTCGGACTGGAATTGCCCAAACTGTATGATATTTTAGATAAAGAAAAGAAACGTCCTTGCCAGACTTTTGAATCACCCTTTATCTTTAACTGGGATGTTTACCAAGTATAATATGTGCCTACATTTTCCGACATGTTCCCCAAAAGCTTTCCGACTAAATACTTTTGTAAATCAAGATTCAAGAGACAACTATTTTTTTTTTCAAAAATATTACGACAAAAATTGTTATTGTATCTTTTTTGTATCTCTTTTATTGTATCTCTTTTATTGTATCTCTTTAGTCTTTAATTTAGTTTTATAATTACATGCAATGAATGGTAGTTGTTTTATTTCTTAATTTAGCTTGCATATCTCGGCAGTATCGAGATAGCCCGACCACGGTCCGCGGACCACGGTCCGCGGACCAGTGGTCCGCGGACCACTGTCTGCGGACCGTGGTCCGCGGACCACTGTCATATTACTGTATAATAACAGTATCCCCTGAATCAAGCAGGGTTCACATCATCCCCTGAGTCAAGCAGGGTTCACATCATCGCACGCGAATTCCAATCAGCGGTGGTGTCAAGGCTTATTAAACGATTAAGCAACCTTACGAGATCAGTTCACATCATGCAATATATAAAGAATAACTACTATCAGACTGCATCAATCATTTCTATCATCAACTCCTTCTTGAACAACTACAACTATGGTCTCAGAGAAAACGAAACGGATGAACTCAGCCCTACCCTGCGACCCTATCTGCAAACCTATCTCACCTCTCGACAAGTGGACTCAAGCTGGTAAAACCCTCATCGTCTCCAGAGCCAACCCAAGCTTCTGTGTTTTCTGCAACAAGAGGCATGCTGGTATATCATGCACTGTTCATGACCCTGTAGCATCTTCTGATGCCGGAGGTCTTGCTAACTCCTCTGCTCATGCTCCTCGTGTCCGCTCCAAATGTAACAACTGCGTTGTTGTGAATGTCCACCGAGAATCTTCAGTCCTCGATGGGATCCTACATTCTACTACAAAAAAGATAACAAAGCTTTGTCCTGAGCATCAACTCCCAACGTTTGTTGTTCGGACAAGGGAACAGGAAGCATTGTCCTGTGTTTCGGTCAACTCCACCAAGTACCCACATACCCTCTCTGTATCCACCTTTGTTGTATTTTCTCTTTCCGAACTTAGCTTCGTCTAATTCGACAATTACTCCAGGACCACCAAGAGGACAAGGGTTTGCAAGCAGCCAATCAGCGATTCGAGTGTGGATGAATATCTTCCAGTCAGACACCGCGTTTTCAGAAAGTCCAGTCATCTGTGATACCGCAATGCCAGCTAGTCCTTTTATACTCAAACAGAACAGCAGTTGTATGAAGGTCTTGAGAGCGAGCTTCTGTCCAGAGAGGATGCTGTCTGTTCTAATATTCTTGTACTTCTTGCAGGGGGAGCAGCGCCATATCAGTCCATCTGGAGACTTCGAGGACGAGCAGGGAACCAGGGACATAGATGCATTACACCCAGGACAGGACATGGAGCTCTTTAGGAGGTTTTTCTGGAATAGGAAGTCTCGAGCATTCTCTAGGGAGGCGGTGGGTCCATTAATTTCGTCCATTAGACAGAAGAGTACCATGTCAGGAATTGGAATAGTTGTTGTTGTTGATGATGGCAACTGATAATACTTCACCAAAAACGAACGACTTATATACCACATTTTAATCGTAATCATTTATTTCATTGAGCAATCAATATTATTCGTAACTAATTATATCCGAGAGACCACATTTGAATCGTAATCAATAGTTTGATCCAGTAATTTACTACGCTACAATTAATTATGCTAGTCGTAACTAATTGCATCCAAGATACCATACATACCATTCATATGATCTGGTAACCAATCAACTATTCACAAACACCTGTTGCTTGATTCAGGGGATACTGTTATTATACAGTAATATGATCTGGTAGACAGTGGTCCGCGGACCACTGGTCCGCGGACCGTGGTCCGCGGACCGTGGTCGGGCTATCTCGATACTGCCCATATCTCATTTATTACTCACGATAAGTATAGCTCAATGCGAAAAGAATTGAAAAATCATACTGTCCCATACTCTGTCCCATTTTCGGTTTTTGAAGCTGAAATTTCCAGGGCCGAAATTTCACAGTTTTGACCGAATTTCTGACCCGCAACCAATTAGTCAGTCAACTATGGATAGAAAATGACATGATTGGGGTGCTAGAATTTTGATTTGGGTCGGAGGAAGCTCACAGCAGAAATCTTAACAAAACGAAAAGTTGTATTTTCAAAACTCTGTCCCATTTTCAGATTTGAAAATTTGTGAACCCACAATTGACAGATTGGATGAAATTTTTGCCCACAAACCAATTAGTCAGTTAATTAATGATGATATGAAACCAAATTGAGGTA